TTTAACTAATATAATAATTATTATTTCCTCCGTCCCTGCCGCCCCAGGCTGCGGCTTCCTCCCTGGTCTGGGAGGGCCCCTCCTTCCGTGCCCACATGTTCCCTCCTAACTCTCCTAACTCTGTTTGCCTCTGATCTGCTTTGTTGTTTGAAACCACTAAATCAAGATAGACGTGCTGTTGTTGAAGAAATAAAGCGCACTGTGTCTGGCTGCAGCCCTCGGGGCCCCTGGAAACCCGCTCCCCATGCCCGTGTGCCGGCCGAGCGGTGCCGCGTGGCGGTCCCTGCTCCGTGCCCGTGGGCACTCGCCCGATGTCCGGGTGTCCCGGTGTAGATTCTCGGCCAGGGGTGGCCGAAGGGGCTGCTCTGGTGAGGGTTCATGTCACGGGGAAGCCACGCTTTCTCCGTGTCGCTGGGGAGAGGCGGGGGCGGGGGGCAGGTGCAGGTGGAGAGTCTTGGGCTGGGCTTTGGCAGCGGGAGGCCGTTCTTTTGGCCGTGCTGTTGTCTTTGCATGGGAGAGGTGTGTCTCACGTGTGCGTGTGCGTGTCCGGTGAGCGTGTGTGTGCGTGCTGTGCTGGCGTGGTCGGTGGGGCCGCGCCCTTCTCGGAGCACTGCTGTGCCGTGCCCTGCCGTGGCGGCACGAGCGGCAGCCTCTGGCCCCCGGAGCCTCCGGCGCTGCCTCCGGCGCTGCCTCCGTGGGTGGGTGTCTCGGTGGGGCTGGTGCACGGCAGGTGCGGATGCAGGAACTACTGAGGGAGCAGGTTCCTCCAGGAGGCTGGGGACCGTGTTTGAAGAAAACCTGTTTATGTGGATGTGGGTCTGTGTCCCTGTGTTGAGGTGCGCATAGCAGAGTTTGCTCTCCTGTGGTTCAGGGGAGGCCGCATGCGGAGAGGGCAGTCCCAAGGCGGGGCCCCCAGCGCCCGCGTCCCCAGACAGGAATGTAGGTGGCCGTGTGCGGTGGCCGTCGGTGGGAGGGGACGGACGGTTTGTCCCTCGGTCTGACGCACGTCTGGACGGGAGGCAGGGCGGCACACCCCTGCCCTCCCCGAGGGCTCGCACCGCTGGCCCCGGCCACAGGCCCGGCCGCGCTCACGACAAGACTGTTGCTCAGTCACTATCGGCTCTGTGGAAGGGCGTCGAGTCAGAGGAAGGATATTTTTTTATTGAATACCACATTTAGCTCTATGTCATAAATATTCAGAAAAGTATTTTTTTAAACAAGGCAGACCGAGAGTGTCTGCCGGCTGGCTGTCTCTGTACAGACGCGTGTCAGGACGTCTCGCCGGAGCCTCCCGTCGGACGTGCTTCTCTCCGCGGCGGAGCGGAAGGGAGCGGGGCGCAGGGGCCACGCGCGGACCCGGCCTGCCGCTGGCCAGGTGCGGGCGGGGTGGGGCGGGCGGGAGAAGGGCCCCCTCTGTGTGTTTGGAGTCTTGTGCGAGCCGATTGATTTCTCTACCTCATCTGTGTAGCGCGTAGGTGTATACCCGAGTGACTGTGGAGAATGTATTTATTTAACAGCTTTGTATAACAGAACCGAAACAAGTGAAACACTAAATAAATGTATTTTAAATTATAGCCCCATCTCAGTCTGCTGCCTTCGCGGGGGGCCTGTGGGCCTGGGAGGATGGAGAGGAGGGTCTGGGAGGAGGGGGCGAGGAGAGCCCAGGAAGGAGGAGCCGGGAGGAGGGCCCTGGGGAAAAGGAGGTTCGGGAAGGAGGACCCCGGGAGGGGAGGGCCCTAGGGAGGGGAGGGTTGGGGGAGGAGGCCCCTCCCCCAGCCGTGTTGGGAGCCCTTGGCAGGCAGGTGTCCCTAAGCTTGGCGGTGGCCCAGCACACCCTGGTCTCTCCGTCTCCTGTGTTCGGGCAGGGCGAGCGTGGGCTCTGCAGGGACCCCCCCGTCCAGTCCTCTGCCCCTCGCCGGGCACCTGCAGCCTTCCCACAGCACAGGGTCCCCATGGCCCTGCCGTCCTCCTGCCCTGAGCCTGGGGTGCTCTGGGCACGGCCTGCCTCTCCCCTCCCTGGCTCTGGC